TTAAGCCCTATTGATCCTATATATGTGATTGTGTTTGAACTTAACAAAGAAAAGGGAATGCTAGCCTAYGGTTCACATAAAATGACTTGGTTTTGAGTGACTCATCTTGGATTTATGAAAGGCTATGAGCCTCATGTTGGGTATAACTCTTGTTGGGTTGGCACTTAATGCCTTGATCATGCAAATTTTTTGTATAAATTGAGTCTTTTTATTTGTCTTTTGGTTGCTTGGGGACAAGCAACGGTTTAAGTTTGGGGGTGTGATATGTGTTGAGAATTCAATACATAATGCATTCGTTTACGTCTTTTTAGTCAAAATTAGTTTCCTTTCATTCTCACTTTGAGTCATTTTGATTTATTTCTTTATACTTTTATTATGGAGCTAAAATATTGTGGTTAAACTTGTTGGGACGCAAAGATACAAGCTAACGGAGAATTTTTGTTAAAACAACCTGATGCTACAGCATTGAAGCAGCAGCCACCTGATACGTGCACGGTTTTGCGAGGGCTTAACGATTAAGCTGCTGACTTTTGGATGCTGAATGGAAGACAGCTGGAAGGCTTTTTTAATCAGGGATTTTTGAATTAATATGTCATCTTGTACTTAAGATTCCCTTTTATTAACTTTTGGACATTAACTAGTGGTTAATATCTTTATTGTTTAGTGCAAGGCTTTGTGTATAAATAGGGGACTTAACCTTGTGATTCCACACACCTTTAAACATATTTCTAAGATCAAAATCAGCTGGTTAGAGTTGATTTTGAGAGAACCTTTTGAGAAATATGAAGTTCTTGAGTTTTAAGCTTTCAATTCTTGTCTTTTAATTTCTCGTTCTTTATTTTATGTTCTTTTACGTTTATTGTTATTTACTTTCCGTTATTTAATTTTCGCAATTTACATTCTCGCAATTTACATTCCCGTCATTTATTTTCTCGTTATTTACTTTCTCGTCATTTATTTCCTCGTTATTTACTTTACACAATTTACGTTTATGTCTTTAATTTCCGTCATTTATTTTTTACTTTCCGTTATGAGTAGCTAAGCTTTTATAGCTTGGGTGTGAGACGGAAAGGTGAGATTTTCAAACCAAACAAAAGTAGCTAAGTGTTTTTGTAAACGACGTTCCATTGTTTCATTCGAGTTTTTATAAAACCAAACACACTTCTTGACGGGTTGATCACTTTGAAAGTGTTAAAGTGCCATGGACTTAGAGATAAGACATTGATAAGCACGGCAACTTGAATGACATAAGAGGTAGACTTGAGAAAGTTGCCGACAAGGAGACTTGTYATTTATGTTTTTCAAAACTTAACTCCCGACGGGTTGGTCACTCTTCGAAAGTGTCAAAGTGTGATAGATTCAGAGATGAACTATCAAGAACACGCCAACTCGAATGATATGGGAATCGACTCGAGAGAGTGATTTTTAACAAAGAAATTTGTTTATCCATATATTTTAAAAACACCATCGTGTCACTATCCTTGGTCCGGACACCACATAGAGATATGGGTAGAAAGTTATAATATAGTGCAATGGTGAAGTCCGAGTGGAATGCCTTCAAAATAGATGGTGGAACTTAGTTTTGAAACACTGTTTGCTGTAGCATTTCTATAGCATTGGCTGCTGGAATTTGTATTTGGGTCTCACCTTAAGTCTTACACCCTTGTTTCTTTTATATATTATGTATTCTGTTTGGATTCACCTTAAAATCAAACAAAAGTCTTCAAAATCTTTATCTGAAATCATCTATTTCATTTGACTCTAATCTAACTTTGGCTACAATCTCTGTGGACGATAATCCGGTACTTGTACCACTTTATTACTTGGAAAGACGACGTTGGGTCGTATTGTATACTTGCTTTGTGGCCCAATTTCATTAAGTCTAAAGGTGTAAAATATAACCGACCAATAATATTGAGTCTGCTTATAATATTTCTTCGGACCCGAATAATAAAGATATGCTAGGTAGCCCAACTAGTTCTGTCAATAGGAGGCCTCTAGGCAGCTCTGAAAGTCAATGTAGACTTAATCCTAGTAATGATGATAATCTAGGACGAGTTACCAGTTGGCAACCATTGAACGGTTCTGACTCGGCTGCCAACACTTACCAAGAGGCTGCTTGTCAGCCTGAAGAAATAGACAGACGTAGTAATGATTCTTCTCGTGATTTCGTCTTCTCTGAGGGAACTCCTAATCTGCCTTCTAGTATGTTGCAAACTACTAGAAAATCTTCTAGAACATTTGTGTTACCTAAAAAATTTAATGATTTTGTGATTGAAGGGAAGGTAAAATATGGAATAGAAAAGGTGGTTAACTATTCATGTCTTTCCATTGATAATTTTTGTTTTGTTTCGAATCTGAATAAGTCAAGTGAACCTAAAACTTCTCAAGAAGCTTATAAAGATTTGAATTGGGTTAATGCTATGAATGACGAGATGGAGGCCTTACATAGGAATAGGACTTGGGTCATAACCGATTTGCCTCCTGGTAGAAAAGCTATAGGCTGTAAATGGATATATAAGATAAAATATAAGTCCACTGGTGAGATTGAGAGGTTTAAGGCCAGGCTTGTAGCCAAAGGCTACAGTCAAAAAGAAGGTTTAGACTATGAGGAAACATTTTCCCCGGTTGCGAAAATGGTTACTGTACGTTGTATCATAGCTTTAGCTGTTCAGTTTAAATGGAGTCTGTTTCAGTTAGATGTAAATAACGCTTTTTTATATGGTGATTTAATTGAAGAAGTTTATATATCTTTACCTGACGGATATTATAGTCCTAATGATAAACGGGTATGCAAACTTGTTAAGTCATTGTATGGTTTAAAACAGGCTCCGAGACAATGGTATGCGAAGCTCTCTTCTTGTTTACTTGATAATGGGTTCGTTCAAAGCATAAATGATTACTCTTTGTTTACAAAATCTGTTAATGACGTTTTCATAATTTTGCTTGTTTATGTTGATGATATAATGATAACTGGAAATAATAACCAGGAAATAAACAATGTTAAAGAATTTCTTAAAAGCAAATTTCTTATAAAAGATTTGGGAAAGTTAAAATTTTTCCTTGGTATTGAGATTTTAGATTGTATAAATGGGTTGTGTATGACCCAAAGAAAATATTGTCTTGAATTACTTCATGAATTTGGGTATCTTGGCTGTAAACCTTATAACACACCAATGGACATGAATATGATTGTAATAGACTCTAGTAGCTCAAAAGATCCGTATCTGTCTGATCACACTGGTTTTCAAAGGTTAATTGGAAAACTTATTTATCCTTCAGCAACTAGACCTGATATTGCATTTGATGTTCATTGTTTAAGTCAATTTATGCATGCTCCTAGGCAATCTCATTTGAATCTGGCTCTTAGAATTCTTAGATACTTAAAGTTGTCTCCTGGCAGAGGAGTTAGCTTTACCAGGTCTGAAATTTTTTCACTTAATGCTTTCGTCGATGCAGACTGGGGTAAGTGCCTTTCCTCCAGAAGGTCTGTGACTGGTTTTTGCATATTTCTTGGTAATTCTATGCTTTCATGGAAAAACAAGAAACAGAGCACTATTTCTCGGTCATCTGCCGAATCCAAATATAGGGCTATGGCCATAGTTACTTGTGAAATTATTTGGGTTCTCAAAATCTTATTAGACTTGAACATAAAAAATTTGCTTCATGTCAATTTATTTTGTGATAATAAATCTGCAATACAAATTGCAAACAATCCTGCCTTTCATGAGAGAACAAAGTACATAGAAATTGATGTTCATTAAATTCGTGAAAACATTAGTAAAAGGATAATAAAAATTGTTAAGATAATCTCGTCTGAACAACCAGCTAATATTTTCACAAAATCTCTTAGTATAACACATCATAATTTTCTTTGTTCAAAACTCAAAATGATTGATTTATTCAAAAGTCAAGATTGAGGGAGGGTGTTGAAATATGATATCATATTTACAATCTTAACTTTTGTATTGTTTGATTGTTGTTTGTGATATTGTGCAAGAAGTAAAAGTACAAGGAGCAAAAGTGTTCAAATATAGAAAGGTAGAGGACTAGAGGACTACGCCTCACATTTCTTGGATCTACAAGGGTAGCGGAGCATTTTCCTTACAAGTCAAGGGGTGTTATTGAAAATACTTTGACCAACTTTCTGACCTACTGTATAAAGTTGTACCTGGCTATTGAAAAGTCATCATAATTCATTTTGTATTCTTTTTTCTAAAAGGTTTCATCAGATTCTCTCTCATATTAGATTAACTTACGAATTCATATATATCTTAGTTATCTTAGCTAAGATCTTTAGGATATTTGTAGGTTCATCTTCTATAAGTTTTCTTTTATTAATAAAAGCATTTGGTTATAAGATTTGTACAAAATCTGCATTGATAACAAAGGATACTTAATGTGTCACAATGAGAGGATCTCTTATGTATCTAACACATTGCAAAATAAATTGTCCCAACAATATCTGGATTACCGGCTGAGTCAAAGAAGAAAAATCAGTTATCAGTGCCTGATTTCAATCCAACAGCTCATGGGCAAACAATCATCAACATGAGAATTTATCTTAAGGGAATTTATATTCTCACATAACCAACTTTACATAGCGTTGTCTTGAGAGAAATCTAGCAACTTTTCCTTTGCATGTATTTGAATTTTACATTCTGCTGCATTGCATGGACACACAACTATATATATATATATATATATATATATATAAAGAGAGAGAAACAATTTCAAATAAGAATAGTAACCAAATAAGAGAACACGAAAATGGTTGAATCATATCCTGTATAATCAAATGTGATTCGCAACCTTAATCGCGACCTAGGTTGCAGACCCAGTCACCCACACACTCTTGTGTTGACCATGTTCCACAAATGTATGTGATTTCGATGGAAAATGACATGTGATTTGACCATTCTCGTGTTTTCTTATGTTAACCATGTTCTCATTTGATCATTTCTCCCTTTCTCTCTACATGTATACCATCAACAAACAAGTTCACAGCTTCACATGCTTTTTGACTACTATACACTTGTTTTGTGGAAAATACATGTACAAATACAACTAGTTTGTTCCCTCATCAAATCAACACCTAATGAACTCACATCACCCATATCACATTTTTCATTTAGAATTATGTATGGTAATCAGGTTAATTACCAAACATTTTTAGCCAATTAGACGAATACAATCATCTCCAGTAACTGTGTCAACCAATGTGCATAACTTATGCACTGTGGCATGATCCAGCACCATTCCTGTCAATTTTGAGGAAAAAAAGTATCTGTCCAATTGGCAAATAGTATGTCTTTTTGGTGATTAACCCTATTGTGATCTATACCAAACTATACATACATGTTACCCAAATAGCATCGTCATCAATTACTTGAAGATCTTCTGCTGAGTGAAGGTGATGAGTTGATGATTTCTTGACCCAACTCGTTGATTTTATTAAGTAACAGCATCTGCTCTGTTTCAAGTTGGATTATGCATTCTTCTTCCACCTCATGCAGGCTTTCCAGCTCACTCAGAGTCGATGACACTTCTTCAAGATTTTCGTCTTCAATCAAAGACCGGATTTTTATCATCATTTCCTTCATCTGTCAATATGGTTTATAAACCCATAATTCAGAATCTAATCCCAAAAACTAATAGAAAACAGCAAGAAAAAAGAAGATTGTTCTTAGCAAGTGATCCAAGAATCATAGCAATAAAAATGCAAGTTCCAACCTGGATTGAAATTTTGTGTCCTCTACTTGAGGTTGACTCAGAAGCAGAAGTTTTCTTTTGTAGTTCTGGAACCTTTCTAGTAACTTGAACATGAATCTCTCCCCTTTTAACTCCTTGAAGGGGTATCCACTTATCAGACATCTCGTTTGGAGGCAATCGCTGATATTCCACTATGCAATCGCCAATACTTGACGTTGGCAAAAGGGCATTGTGGTCTTTTACATGGAGAGCTAAGAGACTGCCATCATCAGGGAATTCAAAAGTTTGATGCCACTGGGGATTCAGAGTTTTATACATTACCTGTTCAATAAGAGCAACCGAATGCAAGACTAAGGATGTAAATAGCATTTCCTCCCATAGCAAAATGAATGCAATATTTTCCTTCTATTTAATCATACGAAATTCTGATGGGTATTTTAGATACTCGGTTGATGGTCAAACACGTCTATCAAACTATGTTCCAATGGGTATTTTCTACTAATTTACAGCCATTTAATAACTAATGAAATTTGGACATACCCTCATGGCTCGAGTTTATTGATGGTTATAATAAAATATAACTGCGCAAATCCAAGTGTTCCTCACCTTGGTTCTTCTCTTCAAGTTTCCATAATGTACCCTGACATAGGGATCACTAGTTCCCCGAATATCTGCAGCAACAAGATCTCTTCCTTCAATAAGAACAAGCTCAATCAAACCTCCATGTGAACCCTACACCAAAAAAGAGATGAAGACTAATCAATTTCTAAAAACAGAATCCACATTTGACTATCAAAAGCATTACTTTTTAAGTTCAACAACTACTTTGGCTCGGGAAAATAAGGGTTACCACATTAAACTATATGCATGGGATTTATTGGGTCCGTTTGGTTTGACATTAAACTATATAAAACATATAAGAGTAAACACATTTTGTCGAATAAGAAAATGACAACACTTGTGTGTGAATTTTGAAGGTGGATTCTTATTTTGGAATGGAATTTTTAACAACTTTAAATAGTTTAAGGGTAGTACATACCTTGGATCCTTCAAAATCATCTATCGTTACTGCTTCGATTTGAAGCCGCACTTCACCCTTATTTACTTTCTCAAGCGGAATCCATACATCCCTCACTACCCCATCCATTAGCCCTTCCAAATTTACCCTTGCACCACCAATATTCTCATCTCCAAAGATGTCATCGTTATAGCATTTTATCTTTAGATATTCACCATCGCTGATCTCTTCAAACTCAAACTTCTGACTCCAACTAGGATGTGAAGCATTTGTAGCACCTCTGGTTCTTTGGATGGTCTGTTTCAGGATTTCAGAAAATATTAGTTTGTATTCAGCAAATATCAATATTCATTTCATAATTTGGTAGAAATGTGCATCTACCTTTCCATATTGTAGTTTAACATACGACTTTACGCTTTTGTCCTTCTCTAAAAGTTCTTTGGCTTCAACAACAGTCACGTAAATCTTCCTTCCGGTTCGTGGTTGAAAAATAGAGGACCCATATAGTGATCCTCGTGAGCTAAGTCGAGAACCACTCAAGCTATGCAAACCATCAGAAAATTGCCACTCCTTCAACGTAAGTTTCACTTTCAACTGCAAACCCATAGATAACAGAAATCAATCAAAATATTATGGTAATTCTACCGAAATTGTCTCGGTAAAAAAGAAAGAGATTTTGTCTTCTGATCTCGAAATGTTTCTTCAAATCAACCATTTTTGCTATATAATCAAACGAGTATCTCAAAAAAGGCCATTCATCAAATGTCACATTATTTCTGATGGTAAAGCATAATATCCATTCAGATGTAATCTATGAATGCCATTAGCATTCAAAACAAATGAAGATTTCTTTAAGCTCTACATTTAAGCGTAAAAAAGAAGTTTACTATGATGATTTAATTAAATAAAGTAGGTCTATATATATATATATATATATATATATATATATATATATTTTTTATGGCAAAAGATCATACATTTGCCGAGTTAATACCCTCGAATGGAACCACCATTTCAACTTCTTTTCCACAAAACTCAGCATGCTGCGCTATCACGCTTGATTCTGCTCCAATTGCCCAAAAGATGGTCGAGTCATCTGTGCAATATCTTAACTGCACCCATTAGAAAATTTTACTTTCAAAAGACCATCCTACTCATAGTTGACCTGTATTTGCTAAATTCAAAGAGTGCTGACAGATTTACATCAAAAAAAAAAATTTGGTTGTACTTTTAGTCACAGAAACTCGAGTACAACCAGAATTTCTTTTTGATGTGAATCTGTCATGAAAGTCATGTTTCTTCTTGACTCTCAAAGTAGTTTAGGCTATGTTGCAAAGCTGATAAATTTGCTATTAGCCGAGTCATGTTTGGCAAAGACTAGCTGATAAGCCAGATGACTTAAAAATGTAGAACATAAGAGGCATAACTAGAAAAAAGAGAAAAAAAGCCCCTCGAGCTTATGGAAACACTAGTTTATGTCTCACCAAATGTGGCTTTTTATATAAGCTCAAAAGTCAAAGCATACCTTAACTTCACAGCTAGCAAGGTAGTCATAATTCACACTGTCTGGACAACATTCATAAAGATTGAACTTAAGAATTCCAGCATCATCATGAAGAATCATATTGAATGTTGAATCCCATGTTGGGTTGGGTCCAGCAAGCTCAAGTGTTTTCCTCGTCAAATCTTCGAGTTCGACTTCAACAAATGTATGAAAATCTTTACCAATTTCATGATTCTCTAGTACAGAAGCATCAATTGTAGAGCTTTGTTGCCTGTTTGTACGGCTTCCTTTAAAACTACTCCGAGAAAGTTTTCCGGCTGACACAACCGTGACATGGAGTACACCTCCGACCGCCTTTTTCCGTAGGTCCACTGGCGGCAAAGAAAGACAACGGCGTCGAGGTTCAACCATTGTTTTATTCAATGTATCGCTGCAAAGTTTAACCTGGATATGAAAACACAATTAAAGCACTATGCCATCAGATAAACACAAGAAAAGAAAGTGTAATTAAATCTAAAAATTAAAACCTCGAGCTTACCAGCCACGATGAAACACCAGGGAGTTCTGTTGCAGGTAAAGATTGGCTGCCACCACTTCCGAATGCGACACCTATCCTGACCTCAGGAGTTGACACAAACGAGTATAAAAATGCTTTCCCATCTAAAATTGGTGATAGAATAAGCTGCAGAATTTAGCAACACAATCAATAGTAAGCATCATAACTCAATCATCAACATAAGAAAGTGAAGTAGAAAATAACAATCTATCAAGCCCCACCTCCCCCTATGTATTATACGATAAATGTTTAGAACCCGTGAAAACCAATTTCAACTGTTTAATGAGTTCTATCTAAAGCTAGGACTCAAGGTACTGTTTCACAATGTGACACTTATGGACATGTATCATTTCACATCTATTGTTTCAAAATGTGAAACCACATTGTATGTTACACATGTATTGTTTCACAATGTGAAAATATACATGTTTCTATGTATACACGGAGGTTCAAACGAGAACACTTTCATTTTAGAAAAATGCTAGAACACCCTTATCAGACAGGATCAAGGTTTTAAAAGGCGGAATCGGGACTCAAGGCGTTTTCTCTCAACGAGGCAAGGCGTAAGCCTCGAGGCGGTCCAAGGCGTAAGCCCCAAGGCGGAAATATATATACACCAAAATATGTATATACACTACACAAATATATACATATTTATATAATATATATAATACTAAATTACTAAGGGTGTTGGTTCAGCGGTTCTTGACAAAGGAAAAAGTGAACCGTGAGATAAGTTGAGAGTGTGGAAAAATTGGTTGCTTGGAGAAAAAGGAAGGCTCAAACCACACTTTGATTGAGGGGAGAAACTTCTAGTTTTTTGGGTTTTAAGATATTAAAAGTACACATTGGGGCCATTGGGCTTTAACTTTCAGTTATTTTAAATTTAAAAGAAAGAAGTATTTCTACTGCCATAAAGCTTATAAAAAGAAGCCAAAAAAACCATTACTAAAGCAGATCATTTGAGGCGTACGCCTCACTGAACCAAGAAGTATGCCTCGTTCAAGGTCCAAGAGGCGCCGCCTCGAGTGCGGTTTTGGGCCACCTCGCCTCGCCTCCCCTCGCCTCAAGGTGTACGCCTCGAACGATTTTTAAGACCATGAACGAGATAATACACATAGGTGTCAAGCGACTTGGCCCGTGATCTACGCCGCACCAAAGGTAGCTTGTGTCTCTAATTTAGTATCACACGAGATAGACTATAAGAAAATAGTGTTCTCACATTGTTGTAAAATGAATGTGTTCTTGTTTGAACCTTTCTCGTATGTGTGTGTGTGTGTATATATATAAATATATACAAGCACATGTATGGATGTATGCATATGTATGTTTATGTATATAGGGTATATAATCACACAATTAGAGATAACGTGTAAGAGGTAAATCAGTTTTACATACATCACCCTTGATGTGGAGGTTGTTTATGACGATTCGAGCCGTTCCCATGGGTTTTGCCAACTTCGCAAGCAACATGATACTTATGTCGGTAGTGTCCCAATCAAAGCCCATGCGTATGAATCTCTGTAAAGGTAGATAGTATATGTTTTGAGCAAGGATTTCTCAAAAGAAAAAGATAAACAATTTAAAAACATAAATCAATAGTATAAGCCCAAGGAATTTACATAGCTAGAACAGATTCAAAATTAAGATTAAAAAAGGTCAATTCATTAAGAGATCACACCTGATCACCTGCGCTAGACCATTGAGCCCCATGCATTCCCAATATAGGAGGGCGTGAACCCAATGAAAACTCTTGCAGCTCAATCCTTTCCTACAAGAACAATGCTATTCAACATGCATCTATAAACACTTTCCCAAAAAAGCATACAAGAGGATGAACAACTTACAATTAGCTTTGGCTTCCGATGCTTTAGGCGTTTCTGCATGAGAACAATCAATTGCCGTTGGTCAATTATTTCATACTCATCGATCACACCACAAATCGATAATAACTACGTATTCACGTGTATTAAAACATACCAATAGTTCCAGCACTCCTGCCTAAAATTTGGTTTCAAAATGTGTTTCAAGGCATGCAATTTGGATGTGAGAGTCACCCAAAGTGCATGTCTTAAAACACAATTCAAGTCTTAGTAAGGAAAGAAACTACTGAGGCTGAGCATCACCAAAAGTGCATGTCTTTAAACACGATTTAGCACATTTTATAGCTATAAGAAAGTGGTAGTCACCTCGACAATGGATGAGAATTTTAAAGAAAGCTTCGGACTAATGAAATTGGGCCAAACTTCAATTAAGAGCTTGTTGAGCCACTCACAGTGCTCCAATGGTGTTGTAGGCTGGTGAAGTAAAATAAAAAATTAGAATGCCTCAATGGTTCATTGAGCTCAAATTACGTCGACGAAACCAGACAGAAAATGAGAGCATACAGATGTTTGTAAAATGAGTTGCTTCCACTTTTTGTTCAAGTCTTGCACAAGGATTCGCCGCCGATAGCTTCCATACTGCAGATTAAAACAACCATCTCTTAGAACTTCTATTTCATGCATAATATCAATCATTTATCAGGACTCTTGGCATAGTATGTAAAAATCAAATGTTTATATTTATGGAATTGAAAATTGCCTGTTTTAACTGTAAAAAAGTACCAAATTACAGTTTGCAGATAAACATAAACATTTAGACAATATGCATTAATAAATTGAAGCATGTTCTGTAATTTTTACTGTCACTTTCCTTGCTTTTATCATACCACCCTGCTCCCCCAGAATAAGAAAATGAAAAAGGAAAAGCATTCATCCCCTTGATAAAATAAGAAAAAGGACAAAGAAAGAAGGGTGCTATTAGAAGATATGCATCTAACAGTTCAAGCATGTGAAGATGCACATGGGAATTTAACAATACAACAAAGATCTACACAAGTAGTCAATGGACTAAAGATTCCTGTAGTAACTTGATCATTGCATGTTTTGGGGATTTTTAAGTCATTATTAGGCAAATGTATAGGAAAAGCAAACAAACCATTGCGTAAAGGCTTGCTTGTGAGGCAATGAGAACAGTTTTTCATTTAATTAGTTTTGATCCTCGTAATTTATTGAAGAACCTAAGAACCCATAACCATGGGAGGCAATATCAATCCTGCAATTTGTGATTCAATAAGTTGTAATTTCAAGATGATCAATGCATACAACTTAACAGCAAATTCAAGTGTATATCATTTGTTTTCAATTGCCTAATCTTTGGCATTAACAACTTTACAAAAACGCAGAAATCCAATTCCAGTGTTAGTCTTTGCCAAATCAATCTACTAAAAGTTCCATTATCTTTATGAAGCAAACTACAAACAGATAATCATTTTCTTTGAGTTTTGAAAAGTGGAAGAAACTCTAACATGGGAACTCACACTTGATCAGGTATATATGCAAGTAATTTGTAGGAGCTGTGTTCTTTTCACATCCATTAAGAGAAAGAAAATTATCAGGAAATGAGAAAATAAAAACTAATATTTCATCCAAAAGTCGATTATAACCCATGATTACCCTCAATAATCAAACTTTTCCAGATAAATGATACCATATCAAAAATTAAAGAAAAATAGTGAATCGAACAACAAACCTGAATGGTTGCCCAGACGGCAACTGCAAGAGGAACCCAATTGGAAAGGTTGAAAACCCATTTCTCAATACTCCATAAAACCAATAACAGAGGAATCACTAATGGAAAAAGTGGTTTTTCCACCGTCAATTGATTTAAGAACTCTGTTATCTCACTCATATCAAAACTAGCTTTCTTAATCTTTCTTCTATACATTTCAATATATGTATGTGTATATATATATATATATATATAGAGAGAGAGAGAGAGAGAGAGAGAGAGAGAGAACAAATTTCAAAACAATGAAGTCCAAATTTCAAGATTTCTACATATACCCAAGTTCAGATTTAGAGAGAAAAAGAGAGGCTTTTTGAGGATTAAAGATTCAAATAAGAAAACCCCATAACTTATTTCATTCAATTATGAAATAATGAGTTGATAAAGAATCGATTACTACAGGAATTTGTAGAGACAAGAAATAGGTTTGACTTTTTGGGGAAAGAATGATGCTCAGTGGAGGCATAAACATCAAAAATGAAAACAGTCACCAACTGATGTTCTTACAAAAAGAATTAAATGTGAAATCCATGAGATATTTTTGTAATATTAGCATAAAAGATTTGAGCTGTAGAAGCAAATTGGGGAGACTTGAGCCATAGATGACAGTGGAAGGAGAGTTCCTTGATTGATGGCTTCATAGATGGTGGTCTGGGAACATTTTAATGGTAAAAGTTGTCATGTGATTGTGCTGATCTCTTGGGTAAATCAAATTAAATTGCATATACTGTTATTTTTAGTAAGTTCTTTATCACATCATCATCTTGTTACTATGACACTATAATTTAGCTTTATCTAATCATCAAAATCTAAAATTTCTGTTTTGGGATTAGAATTTCAAACACTTTTCTTCCGGTAAATATATCAAAACCAAACAAGACTATTATAACTTATTTTTTATGTACATATATAGAATAAATAGGTGTGGCCTACGTAGGCCATTGTCTTGTTGACATATGTGTACATGTCTATATAGAAAATAGAGTAAATTACGTTTTTTTTATATGATTTGTTAAAAAATTTAGTTTCCGTGTTTGTGGTCTAAAAACTGCGGTTTTCGTCTCTCTTGTTTGTAATTTATTTATATTTCCGTCCATGAATTAATTCTTACATTTTTAAGTATAAGAGACCAATATAGTAAGGAATTATAAATCACAAGTACTCGAACAACAATAAGTTATAAGTCATAACAATGATTTACATAATATAGGGATGAAAATCACAATAACTAAACTATAAAGGTAAAAATTGCAACTTTTAACGGGTCATATGGATGAAAAAGGTAATTTACTATAGAAAATATATAATCTATATATATTTATATCTATACTATATTATAAATCATTTGGCTAAAACTCTTAAAAACTCTTAAACTCTTAAACCCGTTCATCCCTAAACAATTTCATCCCTATTCGATTTCAAACCATAACTGAATTCGTGTAACTAACTGCAGATAAA